AGTACTCACATGCGTATGAATGGAAGTCTATAGGGCGAAAAGTGCAGTGTGACTGGGACTTTAAGCTGTAACTCTAATTAAACACACCTGTAAGGTCAACCCAGTTGGTCCAATGACGGTATCCAATGGTGGATGAAGGTTCACTGCATGTTCGGTCTTTCCAGTGCACAATGTTGATTTATATTAAACTTAACTCATATCTGACTCCAATTTTAGTATGAGGTGGTTTAGAATATTAATATGTTTATCCTCGTTTTATCTGACTCCAATTATAAAACATTAAGAAGATTATATCAATATGTAATTTAGATAAATGTTTTAACCGTTTGTCTTCACTAGTAACTATTACATCCGTTCATTCGGGTGCTCATGTCGCTCAGAGAAATCGCCTCGGCCGAAGGCGTCCCTCACGGTCACACTCCGGTCAGTCTTGAATATTAAACAGAGGTAAATTGACTAATACTTTAGATGGCCGCTACCAGCGCGCTCGTTCTAAAATACTTTAGTTAGTCCCGCTTAGATGTACACCTTTGAGTTAAGACAATCATTATTTCTAATTAGAGGTTAGGGCATTAATATAAATGTACCCGACTACTGGACTCTATAGTAACTTTGGTTTTCACCAAGCCCATGGTTTCCCATATGAACTTAATTTAGAATAATATTACCTTCAAACAAAGGTCGGGTACCCAATCTAGGTTAGTCGTGCAACACCTTGTTGACCTAGACGGAAGTTATCGCCCTTTCCACCTAAGTACACATGAATCAATATCAAGAGTCAGCCGGATCGCTAAAACACAATTAGTGTGCCAATGCTCCATCTCAATTGGATTTTAGTCCGTCTACTGACCTGACGCAAGACGTGCGGAAACAAGGATACAGCGTAATCTACTTGAATTAATAATTACAGAGTGAGCAAAATATGGTCAAACATTACAATTTATTAGTCAGGTAAATGTATTATGCCAATTCAATCAGTCAATTCATAAATGATCAATACAAAACATCAAATTATCAAAGATAAATCCAAGATGAAAAAGATGCATTCCTGACTTTGAAATATACATAACATGGGGCAGACCCCATGTTATGGGCTGATCTGGTTAGGCAGAATCGCCCTGAGTTTTTCTTGGCCCTTACCTTAAATAATCCAAGAATTCCCTCAAGGAAGGGGGTGTGAATAACAAAGAAGGCATTCACACTTAGTGTAAAAGTCACACCCCTCACAGTGGTTCAAAAGATGCCTGAAGTTATATATTTATTGTTCTGATTATGTCTATTTCTGAGAGAATGAGACCATTGTACCAATCGCACTGAGACATTTCAAATGATATCAAACATGATAGTTAAAGTCAGTTTGGTTAATCTAAAACATTCAAACATTGAAATGACCATATGCGTAAATTGGGGGGATGAAGCTGAGTCTCAGCATAGTCAGATGCAAATGCAGCAGGAACTGGTTTTTCACGCGTTCCCCCCTGGTGGGTTGTGGAGTCCATTGGCCCTGTCTTCAGCTCATGTTTTGAATTGTCAAAGATATCAGAATATTTGCAATATTTCAATTCTTACACACCTGATCAAACTAATTAAGGCTTGTTAGAAATCTACAGGTAATGTTGAAGCAGGGTGGGTACTAAACTCTGTTGCGCTGTTGAACTTGGAGTTTGACCCTCATGGTATATAGCAGGGGTGCTCAATCCTGTTCCTGGAGAGCCACCTTCCTGCAGATTTCAGTTGCTACCCATATCAAACACACCTGCCTGTAATTATCAAGTGGTGTTCAGGTCTTTTTCAGGTGTTTTTATTCAATGATATGTGCATGATTGTGATAAATGTAGGGAATTCCTTTGAAAATATGCTATGTACCAGGGATGTTAAACTCCTGAAGGACCGCAGCCCAGTAGAATTTAGTTCCAGCCCTGCTTCAACACACTACCTTTAGATTTAATTTGATCAGGTGTGTTTAATTAGTATAACTGCACTGTTACTCTGTAGATTGTGCAGTAAATAACTGTAAAATAGCCAGTGTTTTGCTGTAATAAAAGGAAACATTTATTATTTATTAACACATTATTTTACTGTAAAAGGAGTAGACTTTGTATGAAATTGTGTAGTGCAAAAAATAAATTACAGTAATTTACTTTATGTACTCATTACAGATAGTAACTGACAATAAATAGCAAATTACTGTTCAACCATTACTGTCCCATCTTCTCTGATGGTTTATGTTGCTTTTTAGAGACGTGCATTTTAAAGGCAGAAAATAATGATTTAGGCATCACCACACACTCCCACAGGCTGTCTGTCTTGTTCTAAACACAAAGGTGTTAGAAAGAGTTTTCAGAAAATTCTGGGCCTTTAAGGGAGCCAGGTGTTTGATTTGTTTACTGCTGAGTGTGTTCTATTCTCTGTCCATCAATTCAGATGTAGAGTCTGATATGTATTAGGCTTTAAATAAGAATCTACAATGAGTAAGTAAAATGTGTTCAAATGTTTTTGAGGGTTTCTAAAATAAGGCTGTGTTTTAAGTTATATTGTTGTTATCTTGAACTGTGTACTTGAAAGCTACATTGTTAGCTAGTTAGCCTCTCCTCATACAACTTCTTACATTACTTTTGTTTAAGTATATGTAATTATTGGATATTGCATACTGCCATAATGTACAGATGCTAACAGTTTTATGTATCTTTCTGGCAACTTTGCCAAAATTAAATTCCATCATCTCAGTAAGGTAACCTGTGCACATCATCACAGGGAATCACAAAAACGATACACATAGCCATCCACACACAAAAGCTCCCCTGTCAGGTCCCAGGTTGTGAGTTTGTTGCCAAGTATTTTTCAGAGCAGTGTTTCCACCTATGAATTTATATTAGAAACAATAGAAAAGTTTGTTGTCATGAGATAATTATAAAAATAAAAGATTGGATCCTTTGGTTTTTCGGTGCTGCCAACTTAATTTTTATTTTTTATAATTACTTTAAACTTTGTATTGAGAGTTGACACAGTTTTTAATTATTTAAAACTTTAAAATTTAAAATAATTATGTTGTGTTTTTTTGCTGTTCATTTGCTGATCTACCTTCCTGCAGATTTCAGTTGCTATCCATATCAAACACACCTAAACCAATTAATTAGGACCTGAACACCACTTGATAATTACAGGCAGGTGTGTTTGATATGGGTAGCAACTGAAATCTGCAGGAAGGTAGATATCCAGGAACAGGATTGAGCACCCCTGGTATATACCATGAGGGTCAAACTCCAAGTTCCTGGAGAACTTTAGTACCCACCCTGCTTCAACATTACCTGTAGATTTCTAACAAGCCTTAATTAGTTTGATCAGGTGTGTTTAATTAGAGTTACAGCTTAAAGTCCCGGTCACACTGCACTTTTCGCCCTATAGACTTCCATTCATACGCATGTGAGTACTGCAGACCTGGAATGATAGCTCATGCAACAAATTTCATAATTCGTAGCATTGGAAAGTTCAATCTTGGAGAACGCTGACATGCGAAATCACATCATGTGATTTCTTGATACCATTCAAAGATCAAAACATGACCTCTCTGGCTTGCTTTTTTAGTCTCTAAATAGTTTGTTTAATTCCACTCCTCACTTTGTTTAATTCCACTTCCAGTGCAGTATGACAGAATTTTGCATGCTCAAACGTTAGTGTGACCGCAGCCTTACTGTGCAGACCTGTAATATGCAAGACAATATTTATATCTGCTAATTTCTTAATTTTGTTATACTTTTTCTGTTATTTATTTGTTTGGTGCCAAAACAATAAAATAAATTTGTCTGAAAAATGTTATGCCTTCTATTTTTTTAATAACAGCTAAGAATACTGATTAATTTTAGTAACACTACAATAACTATATATGACATACTATTAATGTGTATGCAGTATAATGCTGTGATTTGTAACGCTACAATACAGTAATTAGCTGTACACAGTTTCCAGTTAGTTACCACTGCTGCTCTATTACAGTAATTAACTGGCAACACTGTTGCTAGCTACACACTGTATCGGTTCAGTTACAGTAAATAACTGGCAACACTGTTGCCAGCCACTCACTGTAATGGTTCAGTTACAGTATTTAACTGGCAACACTGTTGCCAGTTACTTACTGTAACCGAACTTTTACAGTGAGTGGCTGGCAACAGTGTTGCCAGTATTCTACTGTAAAAAAAACCCGGTAAGGTCTAACAGTGAATACATTACTTTTGTAACGCATTACTCCCAAAACTGATGTTAATATTGTTTTTCGTGTGTTTATATAAATGAATATGGCAACTGTATAAATGCATATATAATTATGATCTTATTAGATCGTTATGACTATATAAGACAGTTGTCCCCAAACTTGTTCCTGGAGGGCAGGGGTCCTGCAGATTTTAGCTCCAACCCTAATCAAACACACCTAAACAAGCTAATCAGGGTCTTACTAGGTATACTTAAAACATCCAGGCAGGTGTGTTGAGGCAAGATGGAGCTAAACCCTGCAGGGACACTGGCCCTCCAGGACCAGGATTGGTGACTCCTGATATAAGATATACCTTCAGTAATTTCCTGCAGATAAATACCAAAAAATAGCACAACTGGAATTACTACAGCAGTCGTGATCGTCTGATCTCATATGAAGCAAGACATCATAATGACATATGATGATGTGTGCAGGTGTTGTAGTACTCTCCCAATTCTTAGGTGTAAATTGTAAAGCCCTTCCCCTTCATCCTCGGTTTCAAGGGCCAAGGGGAAAGGAGAGGGGGAAGGGGTAAAAAAAATAGAATTGGGATTGGGCCTAACAGTTGGGTAACACAAAAACAGCCCCATGCTAGAAAAAATAAACACACACTAAAGTATACAGGGTTACAGTACAACTGCTGAGATAAGCCTGTTGCATGATGATGTCGATGATAATGATAATATTCTTAGATTATTGAGTTTTTGTTTTTGTTTTTTTGGTGGTGGGATATTCATTTTCAAGAGAGAGATTTAATTTAAAAAAATATTTATTTTATTAAGTTTCCAGATCATTAGTACCAAGAGTCCATGATACGCCTCATGCTCATGAATCTCATGCCACCATAGTTGCTGAAGTTCCTGTACTGTCCAGGTCCAAAGTGCCACATCCTGCCTCTGTAGTGGGGCTGGTCATAAAAGAGCCAGTGGCCGTCCATCACATGGCAGGACTGGCAGTGAGACATGCGGTAACGGTCCATGATGTTGTCACAGTCATCCATCATCTCGTACATCTGACCTCCAAAGTTCTCCCTCTCGTAGATCCTCATTCTGTAGGATCCCCTGTACTGTAGTGGAAGAGTTCATCATTTTCAAGTTTATTAAGCAGAACATTTTATGCACAAAAAGGTGGATTTATTTGTATCTTATATAAGCTTAAACTTTAGCTCACCATGGGGATCATACGGCAGGACCTGATGCAGTTGTTCATTCCAAACATAGACATGTAATCAGCATACTCTCCCCTCCTGAAGAAATATCCACTTCCCATGTAGTTTGGCTGATCATACATCATCCAGCAGCCGCTCTCCACTCTGCAAGAGTGACAGCGGCTCATGTAGGAGTGCATGTCAGCACAGTCACCCATACAGTCATAAGAGCGACCCTGGAAGTTCCTGTCCTCAAAGAAAGTGACCTGAAAATTTAAAGTTATTATTTTACTGATGTAAAGTAAATTAAACCAAATAAAAAATGTGGGAGTTCAACCATGTGGAAACAGTCCTGGAATGAGGTTTACCTTCATGGTTGCGCTGGCTGATGCTCAGTGTTTCCAAAAGGGAAAGCTGAAGCTGATTCTGCTTGTTAACTGACTGGTGTCACCTGTGCTTTTATACAAGACTAAGGCTAAAGACTACACAGCCCCCATTGTTAGTCAATTCCTGACAGTGCAAGTTGACATAGAGGTCATTCTAGCTAAGAATTGGTATTTAGTTCTCAATACAAACAAAAAAACTGTTTAAAAACCCATTGTCTATTTCAAACACCTGTATAGTTCTTTGTATTGGTGGCAGGTTTACATCTGTTTAAATACTACTAATTGTAATTTTAAAAAGTCATTACTGCTACATCAATTATGAAGAACTTGATATTTGTGTGTGTATATATATATTGCGTGTGTATACACACACACACACACACACAGTTGAAATTAGAATTATTAGCCCCCTAAATTATTAGCCACCTATTTATTTGTTTCCCAAATTTCTGTTTAACAGAGAGAATATTTTGTCAACACATCTCTAATCATAATAGTTTAAATAATTCAATTTTAATAACTGAATTATTTTATCTTTACCATGATGACAGTACATAATATTTGACTGGATGTTTTTTCAAGACACAGCTTACAGTGACATTTAAAGGCTTAACTAGGTTAATTAGTTTAACTAGGCAGGTTATGGTAATTAGGCAAGTTATTGCATAACAATAATTTGTTCTGTAGACAATAGAAAAAAATTGCTTAAAGGGGCTAATAATTTTGACCTTAAGTGTTTTTTAGAAAATTAAAAGTTGCTTTTGTTCTAGCCGAAATAAAACAAATAAGACTTTATCCAGAAAAAAATATATATATTATCAGATATACAGTGAAAATGTCCTTGCTCTGTTAAACATCATCTGGGAAATATTTAAGAAAAAAAAAAAAATCAAAGTGGGGCCAATAATTCTCACGACAACTGTATATATATATATATATATATATATATATATATATATATATATATATATATATATATATATATATATATATATATATATATATATATATATATATATACTGTATGTATAGTTGTATGAACATACTAAATTTGTTAGAATGTTTTCAAATATATAAAAAGTATATAAAATATATACAGTATTTCTGTATCATAACTATTATATGATGAACTACTTTCTTACGGATTTAAATCATAAGCTGACAGTTAAACAGTTGAGCGTGCATCTTTTAAACTTTGGATCTGTAGTGTCTTCTTTTTGCTGGCTGTATGTGGGCGGAGTAATACACAAAGGGTAAAGAGGCATATATATATATATGTATATATATATATAATACATATGATACAGAAATGGGCGAGGCAGTGGCGCAGTAGGTAGTGCTGTTGCCTCACAGCAAGAAGGTCGCTGGTTCGAACCTCGAGTCAGTTGGCGTTTCTGTGTGGAGTTTGCATGTTCTCCCTGCCTTTGCGTGGGTTTCCTCCGGGTGCTCCGGTTTCCCCCACAGTCCAAAGACATGCGGTACAGGTGAATTGGGTAGGCTAAATTGTCCGTAGTGTACGAGTTTGTGTGTGAATGTTTGTGTGGATGTTTCCCAGAGATGGGTTGCGGCTGGAAGGGCGTCCGCTGCGTAAAATCTTGCTGGATAAGTTAATAAGTTAGTTTAATAAAGGGATTAAGCCGATAAGAAAATGAATGAATGAATGAATAATACAGAAATACTGTATATATTTTATATACTTTTTATATATTTGTAAACATTCTAACAAATTCAGTATATATATATATATATATATATATATATATATATATATATATATATATATATATATATATATATATATATATATATATATATTTTTATTTATTTATTTTTTTTTATATATATAAATATCTATTTTCCATGAATGTTCATGTCTTTTCTTTTCATAGTTCTTTTTTCTTTATTTCATAGCATTTCTCCTGGTTGTGCTATTTCTAATAGTGTATGTTTATATTAGAGCATTTAACCAATCATGCCTTATTTCTGCCAGCATTCAGATATATGACTAGAGAGGCATTAAAAATCATTACTACAAACATCTGTAGCATTAAATAATTGTATTGCAGAAGGTCTGCCAGTTTTTATTAACATAAATAACCATGTTAACCAAATAACGAGCAACAAATAATAAATAATTACTATGCGTTCACTATTCGATTTTACTGATTTGTTTTTTTCTTTTTTCTTTTTTTTGCTGCTGCCTACGGCTGTCAGAGGGTCCAGTGCTCCAGTTCTCCACATGTTTTAACTGCCTATCTTAACTAGACGTGTACTCCTGAACCTGTTGAAATTGGGACAAGATTTGATAGGTGAATGCTGCTATGGGAGTTGGGATAAAATTATAACATGGACAAATGAAAAAATAAATTAAAAGGGCAAACAATTTAGATTTTTATCTAACTCAAGGAAGCAACAGGGATGCATTTAGTATTACTAAATGATTATGGAAAACATCCCCACACATCAGCAGCAGCATTGTGAAAGACAAATCATGAAGATGGAAAAACACCTTGAGAATGGAAGGTAGATTTTTATTTTTTTAAAGACTGTCTACATTGTATTATAATGATGTTTGCAAGATATAAAGCCACATGTATGTTTCTGTAAGAATATCTCCGTCCATAGAGTTAAGCTGTTTACATCAGTTAAGCTGGTCTTTTCCTCCGGTCACACAGATGGCAGGGGCAGACTGGCGAGGAGACTCGGTGTGAAGATGAGACTCTTGGCAAGTTAAAACACATGTATACACTTTTCTTTGTTGTCTTGTATGAATCATTTTAATCTTGATCAATTTTCCAGTAATGTTGTGCTAACTAGTAACATTATTAACCTCTGACAGCACTGATGTGAGAAGACCTGAGAAGACAAAATGCTGTACAGTAATAAAATGAACTTAATAATAATAAAGAATAAAATGATGTTAAATTGTTTGGTAAATTTTAAAGCACATGTAATCTCCTTATTTGTTTATACCAATATAGGCAAATGCTAAGGGCGCAGTACGTCCAGGGGGGCGCCAGAAATGGGGGAAGAAAAAAAAAAAGTAATTTCCACTATGCTTAAATACTGTTGTACTGTTAGAGCATAGCTTAGCATTACCACATGGTATATTATGCTACAATTTACTTATTTTTTTTTTGCATTCTGCTAATTAGCTAAATAATTAATTTAAATTGTTACTTAGGCCTATATGAATTACTAATATAATTTTATATCAGAAAAAGTACATAGTATATTATACATTAGTCTACATCATGCTTGTATCTTTAGGTTTTTTATTAATATTATTTCATCTTATTTTATTTTTGAAATCACGTGTATATTATTAGATTGGTGTCGCATACTCCTCTTCTGTCTTAAGATGCGCTGCTGAGGTTTCTCAGTCCCATCGGTGCAAATCCTTCTTTCTAAGTATTGTAAATGTGCAATTGCTTAATTTAAATAAAAGAATCTCCAAGACAAAGCTATTTAGTTTCTTATGAGTATATGACTGTACTGCGATGCAACAGGGCGCCACCTGAAATCTTGCCTAGGGCGCCAAATTGCTTGGGGCTGGGCCTGTCTATAAGAAATAAAAATATTTGAGTATAATATTATTTTGTTATCTTGTTATATAAATGTTTCAGTTGTGATGATGGGAATTTTATTGATCTATAATTGAGTTTCTATAGTGGTGATGTATTAAAAGGTTCGTTGTTGTGTGTGAAGAAGACAGGGTCGGCGATATAAGGCAAGTAAAAGTTTTTATTTTTCATATACGTGCACAACACCAGTAGCAGTGTGTGTGTGTGTGTGTGTGTGTGTGCTTTCTCCCTCCTCTCCTGGCTGCTCCTTCTCTTCTCCTTAAGAAGGGTGTCTCTCCGGCTCAATCACTAGAATAAACAGGTGTTATTTATTATTTCTGATTGGCCTGCTGATTGGCCGCCGGGAAGTCGGCTACAGCCATCTGCGCCCCCGGCCTGTGGATCACTTTGAATTTAAAAGGCAGTAACACTAGATACCGACGGGTGATCCACACATTGGTATCCTTCATACGGTGGAGCCACTGGAGAGGAGCATGATCTGAACAGAGGACAAATTCCCTGCCCAGGAGGTAATAGCGAAGAGTGAGAACCTTATCACCAAACACTCCTTCTCTATGGTGCTGTACTTAGCCTCACTCTTACCGAGTTTGCAGCTAATGTACAGCACTGGCCGTTTCACTCCTGCCATCTCCTGGGAGAGAACCGCCCCCAGACCCCGATCGTATGCATCCGTCTGTAAAATAAAAGGGAGAGCAAAATCAGGAGCGTGCAATAGCGGCCCCCCGCAAAGTATAGATTTTACCTTTGAGAAGGCCTGCTCTGACCATTGGACGGTATCCGGTCCCTTCTTTTTAGTGAGATCGGTCAATAAGCTGACAAGGGCCAAATAATTGGGGACAAATCGCCTATAATATCCTGCCAGCCCCAAAAACTGTCTCTCTTCCTTTTTGGTCTTAGGTCTTGGACAGGTTGCAATAGCTGCAGTCTTATCAATTTGGGGCTGCACCTGCTCACGACCTAAGTGGAAGCCCAGATACCTTACCTCCACTCGCCCAATTGCGCACTTCCGTGGGTTGGCCGTGAGCCCGGACCGTCTCATCACTGACAATACCGCCCTCGATGTTGCATATGCCGCTGCGAGTCATTACTGTAAATGATGATGTCATCTAAATAAGCAGCGGCATATGCTGCGTGAGGGCCAAGTATTTTAGCCATCAGGCGCTGAAACGTTGCAGGTGCCCCGAACAGCCCAAACGGAAGCATCACAAATTGGTGTAATCTGAACGGCGTAGTGAAGGTTTTTTTTTTTTTTTTGCAGGATATTGGAGATAAGGGGATCTGCCAATATCCCTTCGTTAAATTTAATGTCGAGTAATACCGAGCAGCACCTAACCGGTTCAGCAACTTGTCAATATGCGGCATTGGACAGGCGTCAAATTTTGACACCGCATTGACTTTTCTATAATCCACACAGAACCGGACCAAGCCGTCCGTCTTGGGTACGAAGACAATCGGGCTGGCCCAG